ATAAATAGGCACCCCCCCCCCCCCCCCCCCCCCACGAGTGACATCTTCTCCGCAAAATGTGCCGCTCCGTGATAATGCCGTTTGCCATCATCCCATAGGTTAACGGTTTATGTTGGAGTGCAGGAATTGCGGGGAATTATAAATTAGTGTGGGGGGTCGGGCCTGGATATTGGCATCTTCCGACAAGGGGACGCTTTTGAATATGGATGGTTTTTGCCTTGTAAGGTGAGTGGTGCTCCGTATGGCTGTCGAACGCCAACAATAAGCTTGGTTTAGCAACGACTAACGGCTTTTGGAAACAACTCTCTGGTGTGATACGCTTTCCCGCCGTACTTTTCCGGCTCCGTTCGGCAAATAGGGGTTGGGAACAGGGGGTGTAACACACGCGTTCCTCCTGCCGCGCTAAGTTTGTGTGCTTTTGCATTGTCATCGAGGCTGGCGTTTAAACCGGAAAATTTCAGCTCACTTCCTAGGGTACGGCAATGGAGACAAAGCCCGCAGCGATGCTATGGTTGAGTGCCGTCCCAGTCGCACTTCCTCGGTAATGGCCCAGCCCATTACGGCAACGAACCTAAACCAGCATCCTCGAATCCGCTCGTTTGTTGTGGAGTTCCAGATCCGATCCATATCAAACGTGCACGATAATTTTGCAGGTTCATTACCGGCATATCAAGGGTGAGATCCGCATTGCCTCAGCAGCTGGGGAAAGGCTATGACAGCTAGAATGCTTTGGGCCATTCGATCCTGAACCAGCCCTAGCAGCACCGCAAAGATTTACTGCTGGATCCACCCAGCTCGCCCGCAATCCGGCCCCGGTTCCCAGGCCCGCGGCCCTCCATAGTTCGATCACCAAGCCACCGCATTATAGTAATAAGCAAGTGCGTTCAGCCCATACGCAAAGATGAGGGCGTGCGGGTGAGACCCGCAAACTATAGATATTCGCCATGTCAGAACGTGCTGAAAATACAACCCCTGTTCTGCGTTCCTTTTCCAGAGGACGCATGGTGATCAACCCAATATCAAGCCAGCCAGCCGCGGTAGATTATTGGAAGGCCGCTGTTTTACTCCTTTCCCCGCGCCTTGCACTTCTACTTAAAACCTTTCTGTTCAAAGAAATTCACCACCGTCCGAACTGGAAACATTTCGCTTCATACTACCAATAATGGCCTCTTTAAAAAATATACTAAACCCAGTCAAGGATGAACCGGCGGATCCACTGCCCCCAAGGACGCAGGTGGACGAACTGGATGCACAGGTGGCCCAGCTAAAGAGCGAGCGCGACCACTATCGTAATGAAATGAATCGGCTGAAGGACGAGAACGACCGCTATCTTAAAATTATACAAAGCCGACCAGACCGCACCGTCATCCCTGCGGGAAACCGTGTCGAGGCCCCCCATAGCGTCGCGCCGAGGCCAGGGGAGGGCGGCCCGCAGGGGATGCCCCAACGGCCGGGGCTGCCGTTTCGGCTAGGCCAGCCACCCGGCGGCCCGCACTCGGGCGCCTCCTCGCCCGCCGGGACTTCGCCGTACTCGCAGCGCTGCCAGCCGCTTCCGCAGCACCCGCACTTGGCAGAGCATTTGCGGGCTTCCCAGCCGCAGCACGGCCGGCCGTTTTAGTCCTAGCTACCGAAGCCGGGGGCAGCTCCACGGGCAAAGAATGAGGCACACTTATCCTGCTTCAGCACGAATCCACTACATTCGTACATTTTGTAGTTTTGTACTTCGTATTTGGGAATCTTTCCGACGACAGCTAGGTCGTCGAATCTGGGTTTATAGCAGCGGTGTAATAGCAATTACGGCACTACAAACACGACCTAAAAACAGGAGTCGTGCGTTTAAACAGTCCGTTTAGGCAGGTGCTGCTTGCAGGGGCTCCTTTACGTGTTTTCTGTGTCCAGCCAACTCGGATTTTGACGCGCCTTGTACAGTGGCTTACATTTATCCTATAAATAAAAGCCCTCCCTTTTCAAAGTGCTCCTTGGGCTTACTTCCCACCTTATGTATCTACGAACTTTACCCCCAACGCTCTTTTACCCTTGCCGAACATGGACGCAACCTGCGTTGATCCTAAGCTTTATTTAGTTGTGCCTAGTTCGTCCAGGGGGAACCTTACCCCGAGGAAACCTGACGGCGATACCATTTTTCCGTCGAGAGCGACGCAGGTTGAACTATTCCAACACAAAATAATTCAGCCGGATGAGGAGCCAACTTACAACTCGTTCGAACCGCTTTATGAAGACATCATGCGTGATCGCACTCCGCCCGCCAACGATCAACCCAGTCCGGAAGACATCGCGTTGTCGACCGAAGGAGCCGGCCAGCCGGGCTCGCCCAACAACCAACTCGGTCCGGGTAAGTTTTAACGTATCCCGTTTTTTAGAAAAAAGTTAACGTAATACATGAGCATGCCAGCCGGTAAGCGGCCCAAGAGGAACAGACGCAGGACGGTCTGTATGGCCTGCCGCAAATCCAAACAAAAGGTAAGCTTGTTTCCGATTGCTGAAGTGCAATTTACAACCTTTGAACTAATAGCGCCTTTGTGCAGTGTGACTTGGGGATACCTTGCGGGAAGTGCTTGAGAGGGGGCCACCATTGCGTCTATGAGCAGCGCTCTACGGTGGAGGGGGAGCCGCAAAGGGTCGCGGCCGTACGACATGGCGCCAACGTTCAATGATTTGAGTGGCATGTATGAGTTGGCGCTTCTCTCCGACCGCGATAGCTGCATTTTTCCTGCGCTGAATTTGTTATACGATCACTTGCCTCACTGTTTTGTTTAAACTGTTTCCAAGTATTATCGGCGCGCGAGAATTCACGGAGCCGCGAAGACGACGTGAACCGCAATCAACAAGTGTGAGCGAACTAACAGGGCGTAATCCTGCATTAGCAGCGGTTCCGAAACCCGGGGTCGATCTTCAGGCTACCGGTCGGAAGCAGAACTTTGCAGTGAAACGCGCCACTGCCCTGCAGGCGCCTCAAGTCCAACAATCCGAAAAGTGTTGACGCCGTCGGCTGGGGACGCGTTCGTGCAACTTGATGAGCCGGCATGTAGCAGCTTTCGTAGCAATGAGTCAACTTCCGAATGGGGCGCCGTCTGCTCCTCCTCGTGCTTGCAGGTTACCACGGTCAACTTCTTGCCTGTGACGATGGCGATCTCGGCACTAGGAAACGGCAGTTTTTCCCAAAAGCCGGCGATATTCGGTGGCTCGCCCGTTGTTGGTTGTCAATGCCAGCCACCCAAAATGCAATTTTCTTTATCAACACGCCCCTTAAATGTCAGCAACACTGGCTTTATGCAAGACGCAGTGCCACGTATTACTCGTCCTAACCCTGCAAAGCCAGAAAAGAAAAGATGAGTGGCAGCCAAGTAGGGGGCGTGAGGCAGCACCACGAGCAGATACGCCACTGGGACCGGGGTAAACAGGCGGTGGGTAGTCCGTGGCAGGTGCTGCGCGTAGGGGTTTCATCTTCGCTTACACACCTTCCCACCCTCCCGTTGGAAGGTGTCCAGCCATCTCGTGGTAGCTTGCTGCCCCCGGCATAAACACACCTTTGATGAGCAGGCTGCATATGCAAGCCAGCAAATATCACATCCTATCGCCACCCATTCGGGCACCAGTTGACTGTGCAACCAGCAGGCTGCGAAGGCCCTTAAAGCCGTTCCTCCTGACTAGGCAACCGCGCTAGCCAAACCGGCAAATCCACATATGATTGGGTAGGGGCTTCCCTGCCATCTCCTGCTGGTGGCTGGCGCCTGCATACCGGTTTCCTAACTTGGACGGCTGGGCCGAGTTGCCTTCTTTCCGTTGGTCCATCTGGCCGTAAACACCTGGGCGTGAGCAATGCAAGGGTCCACAGCACAGTTGGCTGTCACATTCGTACCAACAAGCTGCACTGCAACCTGACGCATACTATCCCCCGCTCAGATTTTATGAAGTACCGGAACTGCGTCCTAGGGCTTTGCCGGAAGTGTCGCCGCACTGCTTTCGACCCGAGAGCGGGCAACATCACTTCCTCGGTGGGCGTCCCCCCTGGGTGAATACGCCGGCATAAAAACAATTCGGTCTGGGTAGGTGCCTGATCACCGACAAAGTATTGGGCGGGGAAGTGACAAAATGGATATTGGAGGGCTAGCTTCGGTCGCCTTGTGGCAGAGGCGCAAATGGTGGCGTGGCGAGTTGCCTTGGTTGCGCTTTGCGGCTCTGTTGGCTCGGGTGCAGATGGTTTGCCAGAAAGTAGGCCATAACAGCCCAATACCTACTGCGAACCATTGCGAACCATTGCGAACCATTGCGAACCTCCTTCCGTGCTATAAAACGGAATGAAATACCTTCCACTAGTCCTCCATGGCTTGCAGGCATCTTGGAATGGAGCTCGTCCCTTGCATCTTTTTCAAAAATGCCGGGTAACGGAGGTCAGCCTCGAGCCAGTCCCGAGTGCGTAGGCCCTTAGCCAGCCTTGTAAAAGGCTTTGCGGCTATTCCCAATTTGCCATTTGCTAAAGCTTGACCTCCCATTACAAAGCGCTAGCTAACTCCCCATCCTTCCTGCAGTGACGACCCATCCGCCGGTGCCGCCGATCAGGCCCGGCGACTCCGGCCAGCCCCGCAGCTCCCGTCCCCCTCCGCGTCCCTAAGCCCGAAGAGTGACGGGGGCGCCGCTGTAGGTGCGGGATACGGGGGAGGCGATACTCCCGTCGAAGTGGTGAATGAGCTTCAAAAACAGCCTGAAACCAGGCCCGTGACGCAAGAACAGCTCATTGCGGAGGTGAAGGGTATCTGTTCTGGGTAAGTCGGTTTCTCCACGAGAGAGAACCCTAGTCGAATTAGCGCCAAGCTGGCGTGGTTTCGGGCGCCCCTTAACTCTCCTTTCCTCCTTGCGTAGCTACAGTAACCTGTACTGATATGTACCTGTCGCCGTTTTAGTCTTGCCATGCTCGAGTCTCGTTGCATTAAAGCCGTTACAACGGAAGCCTCTCTGCACGACAACCCAAACTCGCCGCCGCCGACCAACGACCAGTGGCAAGCACTTGTATCTTTGCACGAGAAATTGCTAGACGAGCACCACGGTGCGTCCCCCCTCATTTTGGTGAAGCCCGCCCCGGCCCCTTTTCTGGCAGCCCGCTGACTTTCGTAGATTTTTTCTTAGCGTCACAACGCCCCGACGCTGGGCCAGCCCTCCGCCGCTTGGCGTCGAAGTACGCTATGCCGCGCCGCATATGGCAGCTCGGAATCCACAACTTTTTGGAGCTCTTCAAGCATCGTCTTCCTGGCTCCTCCGAATACATGTCGAGATTTATTCACTACGCTTACTCTATAATAACCCTGCTCTATGAGATAGCGCCTGCTTTCAAGGACACATGGATTGAATGCCTTGGGGATCTCAGCCGCTACATCGAGGAGGAGCTGGGCCATCTCCTGCCGGACGCGGATGCCATGGGTACAGCCACCTCCGGCAATAGGGACATCAACATCGACATTATCCTCCCGACCCCCACCAAGGCCGTGCTGGACTACGGGGATATCCTGCCGGACGCGGACACAATGGGCGTCGCTGGTGGCACATCCAAAGATGAGCAGAGCGAGTTCCCCTCGCTGGACGACCTGCAGAACGACAACCTGCGGAGCGACGAGACTCTGCCGGACGCGAACGTTACTGGCGTGGACAGCGTCAATCGTATCGGCAACGATATCTCATTGCAGCCGAATAACTCGACACAAGACATACCGGATAAGGGTTCGTTTTAGGAGCAACACAAGGATTACGAGCAGTACGGGGAGGATCGAGAGGAAGCACTCACTACAACATCTTGGTAAGTAAACAAAACGAAATACAAAGAGGAGGCAAAAGTATATTAATTAATAAATCCCACCGTTAGTCGAAAATTACCCGCGGAAGAAGACAGCACGCATCTGCGGGGGGAAATGAGTGAAATAGGGGGTAAAGGAGGCCGCTTCTTACGACGGGCTGGTTTATAATACAACGTACGAAAACGAGGCAATGAGGGGCAGGCAAATGGAAAAGCGTTCGCGGAAAACATGCACTGGACATAGTTTACGTCGGTACAAACAAAAAATGAAAATTCGATAAGAAAAATGAAGCGATCGCTGTCGGATCCTTCTGTTTACATATGTGCCGCCCAAGCCTGTCGGGATATGCTGAAACAAGCGGGGGACTCGATGACGAGGGCGACGAGATACCCATGAATCCTTACCCTCGGCCGTTCGTCGGCGTGGGCAGGTCTACCGCGAGGAGGTGAGTGCTGGTGACGCCGGGGCGGGGCCTGCACACTGCCGCCTCGGCGTTCGAGGAGTAGACGGAGATCCTGGATAAGTTACGCCCACACCCTCCTGCCGTAATGCCCTGGAGATCCCTGCCAGTGCGAGCTGACAGCCAGCCATTCTAGCTGCCGCAGGACCGCACACTCCATTTTATTCGCTGTCATTTTTTTATTTTGCTGCAGGTATGAAACATTGCCCGGGGGAAAACAAGCGTGTCGAAAGCCGCGTAAAGATAAACACGAAAACGCGTCGATCCCAAAGCCCCGTTAACTGGCGATGGCCGGTAAGTTTGCTATTTATTTTGGCCCACTGGTTTTTCTGATGGTAATGGAAGGGCTGCTGATATCTAACGGCCCAATTTCCCCATCCCTCCTCGAAATCTCATTGCCATCGCCATAAAGCAAGCCCAAACAAGGAATGAATCGCAAACGTTTCTAATATGGCTCAGCAACTGCTACCGGCTTCGGCTGCGCCCTCTGCCCCCCGCGCCGCCTCGGTCAACGTCGTCCTCGGGTCCAAGGTTGGGCCATGGCTGACGCAGACCCTGAAGCGCATTAACAGGGTCAAGCGCTCGCTCAACACCGTCCCGCAACACCAGAGGTGTTTGACCGAGACCCTGTTTTCACCAAACGCCATCTGGACTCTGGCCTCGCTCATGCTCCCCGAGGCCCCCGACTCGGTGCTCAAAAATAATTCAGATCCCCTAATGGAGGGCATACTCAACTACCAGCTGGTGCACATCGAAGCCTACATCGTTTACGTGGATATGGTCCTGCGCAACGAGGTGGCTTACAAGTTGACCCCGGACACCATCGAGGCCCTGATCGAATACCACAAGGAGGTCCACTGCGTCAACACCAAAGCGAACATTTACGACTGGGCCGGAAAAGAGCAGCAGTGTAAAAAGCTGCATAACGAATTTATCCAGGCCATCAACAAGTACGTTCTTTGCACGCATGTCTCTGCGCTCGAGGGCCTGGAAGAGGAAGGAGCCGGCGAGCTCCTCAACGGGAAGAGCGAAGATGTCAAAACCGCCATCATGGGCCTCATAAGGCCCCCGCCGCCCAGCCTACCCGTGGATATCAGTATGTGGTCCCAACCTACAATCTCGACGTCGCTGCCCGCTCCCGTCGAGTCTTGGAGGGCCCCGTCGTCAAACCCCGGCGTCGTTTCCACGACGGCCGACTCGAATCACTCCATCTGGGTGACCACGACCATGACTGAGTGCCAGCTGCCTTGGCCGACGCCGCCCTTCAGCCAGCCGTTCTCGTCCGCCGGGCACTACTTCAGCTTACCCGTCGTCCTGGGGCCTACAGGCTGCGATGGTGTACAAACGGAAAGCCCCGCGGCCTCCGCCGGGCTGTGGGGAAACCTGCCCCAGTCCGAGCTCCTTGCGGCTGGGAACACGGCAGCAGCAGCGGAAGTAGCGATAACGACCCGGCGTTACAAATGCAACCACTCGGGGTGCCAAAAGTCCTACAAGCGGGACAGCGACTTGGACAGGCATAAATTGTCGCACTTTAAGCCAAAATTCAAGTGCTCCGGATGTGGTAAAATGTTCTATAGGAAGGATTTCCTGGTAAGCGACTTATAACTTTTACGGGAAAGACCGCAGAGTTAACGCAGACAAATTTAAACATAGACTCGGCATAAGAATGAAAAGACGTGCGCCGTCGGTCAGCTTTCTATTTCCAATCGGTAATTTGGTTGGAACGGGCTTCCGATTAGTCTGGCCCCTTTTGATGCGGATTCGGATCTTGTTCCCGAAAGGGCGTCGGTAAAACAACTGGTTATCAGGTACATTTGTCACGCCGTGCCCAAATGGCTGTTCAAGCAAAGCGAGTTGAAATTTATAGTTTCTAAATAAGTTTGAAGCTCGGGCTCAGCCGTCCACAGTACACGGACCACACTTTACTTTAACGTACGGCGACTCGCATTCAATTAACAAACTGCACTGGGCCGGAACGCGAGCTCGGCATCCACGCGCCCGTCGTGTGGAAGCGGTGGGGACGCTCGCCGCCGCTGGGCAGCCTGTCGAGTTCGTTCGCGAAGTCGGTCCAGGCCCCGGCGGCGCGCGGCGGTCGGGCGGCTGGCTGGCGGCTGGCTGGCGGACGAGCTCGCGGGTGATTTTGAACTCCCTCGAGTCGCGGGCCTGTTCGTTACTCCGTCCCGTTTCCGCTTTTGGGTCGCGTCGTACCGAGTCGTCGTAAGCGCAAACGGGGGGGGGGGGGGGGGGGCGGTTGGCTCGAATAGCTCCTCCGCCGGCTTGAACGGTAATGCAGTTCTCATGTGCCATAGTGGAAGGTGGGGGATAGAGCTGCGCGAAAGGTGATTGAAAATGACAACGGACGGAAGATTTGTGAAAACATGGAGGGCGAACACTCTTTTATATTGGTGCAAAGGTACATGTTGGTTGGGGCTAAACTCCGGCTTTCCCCTCCCCGGCTTTCTCCTCTGTGGCATTTTCCTCCCCAAGCTTCTCCTTCCCGGCTTTCTCCTTTGCGTAGCGCTTTAGTAGTTTCAACCATTCGTGACGCTCCAGCCCCAAAAACCGGCAAAAGTCGTACCATGCATGAGTGCGTGAACCGTCGGCGTTTGTGTCAATATTTTCAAGATCGATATATTTACTCAGTAGGTCCTCTAGATCTTTATCACTCATTTGATCGCCGTCGCTTGAGCTGCCGTCGTCGCTTGAGCCGCTGTCGTCGGGGCTGGGTTTTCTTTTTTGCGGTCCTGCGCGTTGCAGCCCTGCGCTCGGTTAGCACCCATTTTTTTTTTCGTTCGGATAAAAACTAACCTGCTGTTGTTTTCTCTTGCCAGCCGAGACAAAGGTCCAGACGGGAATCACTTCTTGGCCCATCCTGCTGTTTTGGGGAACATCGGTGTTCATAATATTCATGGTGTTTTCTTTGGTGGATAGCTGCTTGGAAATGGGGGAAATCAGAAACGGCGAGAACAGAGGCAAGGTGGGGTTTTATGTTCGCAGTAGCAACCAGCACACGGTTGGGCAGAGCAGCCGGTACTGGCAAGGGTGGCGGGCTTTGTGGTGCGTTCACATAAAAGAAGTTGGCTGCGAAGCTGCGTATGCAGGGGCCAGGATTAGGGCGGCGACTTTCAAGCGTCGCGGACGGCCAACGGATTTATGCATGCTGTTAAGAAATTGATGCGGCGGACCGTCGAGAAATTCGTCGCCAAAGATCGTGTCTCCGGCCCTCGCAAAGACGTATGCTGCGAGGGTCGACCACTGTCTTAAGCCTGACGGGGCGCTCAAAGGCCCCTGCCGTTAGAACGCTGTCTTTTCGCGGCAGAACGTGGCGTGTTGCATCAAAGGACGGTAGTGCCCCCTTTGGGCTTCCCAGACGGAGTCCCCACGGACATTAATATTGTGTCTTTTGATCTTCTCTTGTAGCGCTAATCGTATCATAAAGATAGGCTTAAGTCATCCCATCATTTGCAGTGTTTTCTCTCCCTAAATAAACGTTAATTAATTTACACGCGTTGTTCAAATGTTCCTCTGAGTCCTACCAGGCAAATAAACGCTGGCGCCGTAGGTGGGATTTACTGGGTCGAAGTTGGGGGTTTATGGAGCCCCAAAGCCGGCGCGTCCCCTCCCGGTTTTGCTTCTTGCTCCCATCTAATAACCATGAATCCCTCCATTCTGTGAGTTACACTTTGGCACACTACGGGCCGGTCCCTGAGTCTCCTTACGCTATCCCCTTGGGCGTTGACGTCCCGACGACGTTAGATAGGCTGAGGCGAGAGTGATCCCGCCACTACCGGTTCATTATCATGACCCCGGGTTCGAATCCCGTCGGGATTTGGTCCCTGGTTTCATGCCGGCCTCGACTCGGCACTCGGATATGCCTTCACGCCCGCTTGCCGTAAAGTTGACCAAAGTCGTGGAAGGCGAGGCGACGTTGGTTGCGAAAGTGTGGTGGGGTGGTTAGATCCCTGAGCATTACCTGAGCACTTATTAATGTGGAAAACAGAACGGTGATATCGCCACGACGCCGCATCAAGCAATAAGGCCTGCATTAACACACCATCAGCCCCTTCACTGGACTTCCAACCTTTTATAAATGGAACCCGGACGGGTATCAACGTGCGCATCTCGAATTGAGGGGCGCCTCGGTTGCGCACGTTTATTTGGGCCCAGAGTAAGCCTTTTAATCGGGTTTATATTGTCTTATACTGCAGCAATGGCTGGTCGACAACCCCTCCCCCTCCATCGTATTTGCGTAATCCGCTTTGCAAGCGTTTAAATTATGCATATGTCTAATTGTTTGCACCCAGGTACCGAAATGTTCCCGCCAAACTGGACGTGCGAGTTTGCACGACGATTCGCGTTGGGATGCAGTGTTGACGCGACGAATACAGTGTGATAAATTTCATCCTTGGGTTTTTCGCTACAAAACGCGTTCCGCTAAGCCACGTCAGCCACAAATTATGCATAACCGCTGCCCGGCGCTGCCCGGCGCTGCCCGGCGCTGCCCGGCGCTGCCCGGCGCTGCCAAAGCCCTACCAATTACCAAGCGCGTCAGCTACAAATCCACACGTAGTCCGCATTAAAGTGGCAGCTGCCCCACGTCACGCGAATCTTCCACTCAAGCATCGCTCGCTCGATTGAGCCGGCCTGCGAAATACCGAACGCTTCAACCGCCGACCGATTGTCGACGCTGCCCCGCACGCAAAGGCCAGGACACTTGGGGCTTGATTCGTGTCTCGAATCAATCCCCTTCGAGCACCCTCCTGGCTGTCGGCCTGTCTGCTTCGGTCGTTGCTGCCGCCACCTGTCCGTTTTCAGGGGCGCCCGTTTGTTGCGCTTTTAGAACGCCTCGCTGCGCAAATGAAACGACTCCCCAACCCGGCAAGCGAGGCCAAGGCTGCACTCACGCACACACACACGCACGCACTCATCCAGCCCAGCCCTGCCCGGCACCTGCCTCGTCCCTCTTTAACCACGAGCCACCCCAATTGCGTTTCGACCCCACGACATACAACGAGGTCGCTCAGGCCGACCAGCAGCAAAACGCAAACTTGCTTTGTCGCATCGTCCTGCAGGCCGGAGCATTATCGGCTTCCCGAGCGAGACTGCCAATCACAAGCTCGCTCCTTATCGTGCGCGGCCTCCGCCTTTTTTGTGTCCCTTGATGGTGAGCAGGCTTCATGCTTCTTTCTGCTTGTCAGTCATACTCCCCTCGTATCCTCCCAATGCCAAACCTTCCGTCTAACCGTTACGATCAGTCTAGGAACCACTCCCAACGACCGAGGCAATTCGCCGACGACCTTGTCCGCTCGATCCTCGATGACCGCCCGGTTTGACGCGATGGCAGCCCTAGCCAGCGATCCCTTCGATGACGCGCCTCCCGAAGTTAAGGAATACATTTCCAACGGACCCGATGAGTTCCAGCGATGGGTTCGAAGCAAACTGGGAAGCCGCCCCCGCGCCCGCGACCGCGACACAAAGATCCGGGAACTGGAGGAAGAAAACACAAGGCTTAAAGAGCAGGCTAAGGAGAAGGCCCAGCAGCAGGCTGAGAAGCAGGCTGAGGAGATCAGACGGCAGGCCGAGGAGACCAAAACTTGCGGGCCGAGCTTGAAAACTGCGCAAAGCAGCAGAAAGTACAGCCGGGACCAGTGAG